TCTAGGCCACCTACATGTCCCTCTGTGTGTTTCAGAATGAGTCTGTATGTTTCAGATAAAAAGATATACGCTGCAGGAAACAAGCCCTGGGTTTTGACTGACAGCTAAAGAGGTAGGAGGAAGGATAATATCAGTCCAGAGGGATGTCCAATCTGCGAAGCCCCATTTCTGGGGGACTCCCCGGTTCCCTGAAGACCAATGAGCCGGCTCCCTCGACTGGTTGGGGGCCGAGCCCCGGGGGCACAGCGGGGCCAATCAGCAGGAGGCGAGAGGGCTGAGTGACATATAGATCTGCTAATTTACATCATTACCAGAATGCATCCTGACAAATGAGCCCCCGGGGCGCGAGCCAATCACCTGGGAGAGTAATGCAATTAGGCGGGACTACAGCTGTCAATCTCACAGCCACAGGGGTCAGTTTGTGATGCCTATGGTTACAACAGGCCTGCCTGCTGTCTGATTATTAACATATAAAACACATATAAACATAAAGCTCCAGTCAGAGGTTTACACACACTCTGCATCAGCATAAACGTGATATTTAATTGGGACTTTTATAGATTTATTTGAACTGTTCTTTATCCAGGACGAAGTAAACAACTTCAGAATTTATTTTTTTTTATTTTATATTATTTTATATGTTTTAAAAAAAATTTTATGTTGAAAAACGTTGAACCGTACCCATAAGCCTGTCGCAATAATCAATTAATCATTCAGTGTTGCTTTGTCTATTGATATTGATCACGTGTCTATCGTGAAATATATTGTTATTGATTTATTGCCCTAGCTGGAAGTGGCCGTGTCATTCACGCTGATGATGAAAGCCTGTAAACTTATGCCACTAATCTGAGCGCATTCAGATTAGACGACCATTTTTGAAGTGTTTGCCTTCAACCAGTTCGAAAAGGATATGCTGTGTTTGACTTAAACAAAGATTACCTTGTGTCGCTCGAGAACAAACACCAGAGTTAAAGCGTGAATATTTGCACACACCTGGGTGTTGTTTGTGACTATTTGCCGTATGGTAAAGCCGATTAAGACGTAGTGCTGTGGACCACAAAGCTTACACTCTGTGCAAAAGAAACTAAAATGACAGAGGAGTGTTTTCCTGCATTTGACTGACATGCTTTAGCATCATCAGATGTGATTATATCACACTGTTGCACTGCGCTGAGTCAGAAGGGTTGTGTCCAGCATGCAGTTCATGGTTTTAGTTAGTGCTAAAACCATGTGTGTCTCCAGCTTGGGTCTAAGAATGGTAGAAGAATGCTACTTTCTTAAGAAACTTCTACCAAAAATGCTCAGATAGAGTCCTTCTCACCTTGTCTGTGCAGTTCAGCCAGACACTCACAAAGTAAGAGAGGTGGTGCGTTTAGTGTCATCGCATTATATCACTAATGAGACGCCTCCAGGAGGGAGGAGAGGGGGAGACAGCAGTGCAGGCAGTAAAATGAAGAAATGAAGAAAAGACTGAAGAGAAGTGGAGAGAACATGAATCGGGGGGTTGGGAGACAGATAGACCAGCTTGGGGACTTTTTCCTCTCTCCTCCTCCATCCTCGTTCGCCCCTACACCTCCAAGTCTAATTGGACTAAAACTGTGATCTAATTAAATGGCCAATTAAAGTGCAGAAAGCAATGTGCCCACTGGCGAATCAGAGGACGAGGACGTAATCAGATGGAAAAACAAACAGAAAAAGAAATCAATGGAAGTGATGAAAAGGGGGGGGGGGGGGACTGAAAAAGAAACAAACAGAATCAAAGTGATGGCGGGTTTGTGCTGCTACTTAAAAATAACTCCTCAGCAAAAAAAAAATCAAGTGCAGAGGTTTGATAGCTGTCAGCAAATATAATGTTTCAAATGTTCTGTTTTATTAAAATGTTCCTTTTTTTCAGCTTAAACTACAAGAGAGCTCCTAAAATGTCTTAATAAGTAACAAATTGGTGCAAAGCTAAACTTCATGTTTGTCATTTATTTTTAACATTTGCTTTTTAGTCTCTGAAACCAAAATTGAATCATAACTTGTCATGTTAATAATGTCTTATATTCGTGAAAATGTGTATGAAAAACACAAACAGAAACAGAACTAACAGCACTGTGAATGGTGCTTCAGTGTTTGTCCACATTTGAATTTGTCTATGCAAAACAGCTGAGGGTCAGTCAGGCTGAGCATCAAACATAACATCGAGTTTCAAGTCTTGCAACAGAAAGCAACCAGTCTGGACTTTGACTGGTCCATTGCATTGTAGCTTTGTCTATATGTCAAGAGTCATTGTCTTGTTTGAAAGGTGAGCTAAGCGTGTTTCAGCACATGAATGTGGTTTGTTCAAAACTCCAAATCCCGTATGAAATACTTCAAAGTTGTTGGTGGCGAGAATGTGACGAAATGTGGAATAGTTAAAATCAAGAAACAGTCACTGAACACTTAATCCAAGGCACTGCACATCAGAATCGGTGTCTTTTATCATGGGCAATTAGAAATTAATCTCAATTTGTATATCTGTTAAAGCACCAAGGAAACTAAGACTAATGTAAGAAATACTTCAAATTTACATTACTTTGTTTTCTAATGCAAAAAAAAATCCCAGAATAGAAATTTTTGACTAATGACTTGAGCAGGTCAGTGGTTTGTTTTCTCCTCCTCGGAGGGAGCTGATTCTTCCTCTCTCCATCTGTGACTATGTCCCACACTGGGAACCCCCCCTATGGACAGCTTTAGCACATCAAATATTAATGCTGGGATTCAATTCAACATCTAATCTCCTTAACAATTAGGGAGATGCAGCACCCACAATTAGCTTTGTTACACGAGGCCTCGACAGTCTTAACTCCTGAGGGGTAATTACAAACTGGAGACCAACATATATACAAACAGTTAGTAGAAAGAAAAGGTTCTGGGATTTGAATGTGCGAAGCTGCTTTAGGGTTTTGGATTCTTACCATGTCTTTGTTGAGGGGGGACACTTTGGAGGATTCTTCCCAGTTCAGATCATCCTCAGTGGGTGTGAAGACACATCCAGGTCCCCTACCTGGTCTGATCCTGGCTCCTGGCAGAGCAAAGAAAGACGCTCACTCATGCTGAGACCGACCCACCTGTCCACACAAATAACTGCCAGTAAAACTCAGCTACTGTGCTGATGACAGACGTAAGGTTGAGAGAGACTGTTAGTTTTTATACTTGATCTTATCAGATGTGCCTTATCGGTATCAGGATATGTAGAGGTTTTAAAATGTTCCAGCTAAACTTGTTCTTGTTCTGTTGCTATAATTTTAAGTATTTGCTGGTTTCTCAAATTTTTTTAAATTATTATTTTTAGCACATTATATAAAAGCTGAAGTATGTTTATTTTTTACATATTTGTTAAAACTGTCACCATGTCGTGACAGTGTTTTGTGAGACAAATAATCTGTGAAAAGATCAATCTCCTCCATGTCCTTCCGAGTTATTATTGTCATCTTAAGAAATGCACCAAAAACAACCAATCAGAGCTAGGAGGTAGGGCTTAGCGCTGTCAATCAACTTCGTGTATTCGCTGCTCAATGTGCTAATGGTGGAGAAACAATTTACCTTTATAGAAAAACTGTTTATCCATCGTCATCAGTGGCTATGCTAACTAGCTTAGCATTCACAACAGTCTCTGCTATCAGGAAGAAGTTGAAGCGTAATAGAGGGAGAGCAGACATGCCAGGGTGATGGACAGCGCTAAGACCTTCCTTCTCTCAGTGATTAGTTGTTACTAGTTTAGCACTGGGACAAGGCAGAGGAGCAAAACTTTTTCACAGACTATCTGATGCCATACTGTCATGGCAGAGTGGCAGTCTCAACATGAGTAAAATTTCATAAAGTTACATACTGTAGCTTTAAGTTATGGCTATGTTATGACCAACATCATCTGCTAACTTGACAGTTGTCCTATAAACAGTCACTGACTTCAGAAGCAGATAGGCCTACTAATTAATATGCTAATATCAGCTTGCTATATCTATAACAAGCAAAACAGCAAAAATATATGAAATTGTGCGCCATAAGGACCTAAAAGTAAAATTACATTTAATGGATATTTCTTATATGTTTTGCTGGAGTCTTTATATCAATATCAATACTTACTATGGGGATAAATACCTACTATAAACTAACTCAAAGCTACAAACATATTATAGATAGCACAACTATAACACTATCAATATGTGTATTATTTCAGTAGCAGTAGGAAAAATGGTAGCTTCTCTACTCAAAATAAAAGCAGTTAGATCATGATGTTTCTGTTTAAAATCTTTGTGTTAATAAATTTAAGTAAATAAGTGGCAGTGGAATCTTAATGTTTTTACTCAAGCTTACCATAGCCAGATAATCTGAAAGTTTGAGTGAGTTTGAAATAACAAAAATTACAAATAAACTTTTTATGCAGTTGGAAGGAATTGGAATAAACCGTTTAGGTTTATTTTGGAATTTTTAGTTTTTTTTTATTTATTTATTTTTCTGTTTTGTCACACCTAATATTTCAGATCATCAAAGTAATGTTAACACAAACATATCCCTGAGTTATGTTTGTGTTTTGAAAACAGTTTTTTAAATGAGGTCATACAAAGGGGGTAAAAGCTGTGTTACACATAGATGTGGGAAGAATAGCAAATCTCCAACTACAATGATGCAACTCTCCTGTGTTTCGCGAAATATATTTTTCGTTCGAATAATATGGTTCCACAGAGTCTAAGATTAAAACCACTCGAAATGTTGATAATGTATCATGCCAGTTTAGTCCTGTTTGTAATCATATTTACCTTCGGAGTCCTTTTTTCTCAGACAAAACTCTTCAGAAAGTTTTCCTCTCAGGCGTCCCGTTGGATCAACGTTGTAAACACTACAACTCCCGTTACAGTGCTACAGCAAAATTCATTCGCCATGTTTTGAGTTCTCTCTGTGGAGCATATCGCTTGTTTAACAACGTACCGAAAACTACATTACCCAAAAAGCCTAGCGATAACCAGGAAGTGCGGCTCGGGTTTCCGTGGTCACCGTGAGTTCTGTTCGCCGTTTGTTTCCTGCTACAGAGAAGAGCGGTGTCGAGACTGACCGGGAAGGCTGAACAACACCACCACCTCCTCCAATAACTACAGCATACAATGAAACTGTTCGCAATATCTCCATCTCTGGATATCCGTTTCGCCGCTGTTATATTGCTGGTAAGCGTCTGTTTTGCAGCCGGGGACAGTACGGTCACTAACAGATGGAGCTAATGTTAGCTAAATTCTGCTCGCTGGTCAACTGTACTCCCATTAAAAACTTGAATTCATGTTAAAATATAAGATGCGTGTTTATTAAAATCTAAAATGTGGTGATAAAGTTTAAATTTTGATCAATTTTGCTGAATGAGCAATAGAATAGTTAGCAGTAGGTGCTACCTACTCTTATCTATTAATTGCAGTGAAGTCATTGCTAATTGCTAGTACGGCTTTGGAAGCTTATTGGTTGCCCTACTGTTTAAACGGGTTAAGCATTTGTTTTTGTTTTACTGTACAAAGTTATTGTCGTACTTTTGCTGTCGCTATATATGTGTCTCTGAATGATGCTCGCCGGTTGGTAAATTCCTCTGTTGTGGCTCATTCTCATTGGCCGACAACCCGGAACTAAAGGGAAGCTTAGTTTGGCAGTGAAATGAAAACTTCTCTCTGAGCTGAAGAGACCTATGGTTTGATGGGTTTAACCACGGCGAATGTGGCAGTTTGTGGGTCTGCAGGTGTCACATGGCATTCTGTGAAGTCAGAAGCGATCAGCAATGAAATTACAATTTTGAAATAAATTATTGTCAATGAGTTATAGCAGTTGAGCAACTTGTGGCTCCTGATAACCTGAATATTAAATTCTATACATAAATGGGGAGATGATTTTATTACCAAGGCATCCAGAATGCAAGTTTTATGAGTTATTTATGCTTTGTACTAGATCTGCAATGAATTTTAAAAATGACACTAATGGGGGTGGGGGGAATCACCATTAGTGCTTTTTATTTATCTGCAAAATGATTAATTTGACTTTGACATAGATTATCCATTATTATGTTTATTGTTTTTGCAAGTTGAATATTCTACTTAGAAGCCTGCGTCTCAAAACCTGAAATATTTTTGTTGTAAATGTTATTAGATCTAAAGTTAAAACATAAAAATAAATTGACTTTGGTTCTTTGGTTTAATTAAAAATCGGGTCTAAATCTGCTCCAAGCAGACTAACACTTTGATTTTAACAAGCTATTATTAGCTGGCTAATTAACCTGCACTCAGCTGATTTACAGACATGCTGCTCTTGGCGTGCCTTTTCTAGTTTTATGAAAGAGTAAGAGGTGGAATATTCAGATGCACAAATAACTTTTTCTTGTAAAACAAGAAAAGTATAGGTGTTTTATTTATTGTTTTTGTTTTCTCGATTAACTGATTATGAGTATGAAGCAGCAGGTGGGGGAGTTACATTAATATTTGCTTTTGACAGCTAAAAAAACCCCGAGCTCACCGACCCGTTTCTCTGACATCCAATTAATAAGACTTTTAAGCTGTAGGAATAATATGACAAAAATTATAGTGGTTTTGAAACTGCAACTTTTTTCAACCTTGGTGTGCTTTCATACCCATCAAGAACCTGTGGGTAGATCATAGAAACTAGATTAGATATTAATTAGTAGCACAGGAGTAATTTAAGTCTTCTTTTTATACATTGACTTATGGAAATGACAGTGGTATTTCCACTTGTTTGTTTATGAATATATTTATGCAGCTCAAATGCTGTAGTGTTCCTCTCACATCCCGGTTAAAGCGGATCTTTAGTAATCTTGGATCGCACCTCATACACTAAGCATATTTTTAAAGTCTTAACATGTCATAGAACTTTTTACTAAAGTGGATATGACAGTGAGCGGCATTATAAACTTGAAATGAACTGAAAATGGGAACTAGGTGGAAAGGAAAAAAAATGTGTAAAAGTGTGATATTGCAACGGTGACACAACTGTGGTGTGTTCTCCTTCTGCACACCTTTGCTCTTTTGACCTTTACCCTCATTATCTCCAAAAGATTTAGAGTTTAGAAATGCAGTCATTCATACATAAATTACTATAATTAACATAGTTTTGTTCCCACCCAATATACAACCTTGACATGACTTATCTTTAATATGTAGTGTAGCATTAGATGCATACTTTGCTACTGCTACAATGCTAAAGTTTTGACCTGCAGTTACTTATGGAAAAGCGGTGAAAACATTTTTGACATGAACGTAAGCACTTTAGTGTGTAGTAGCCATAGAAAGTACATTTCTTGTGTTGACATTGCAGCAGCTGTTAAGGTTAAGCTCTGGAAGTGGCATTCTGTTTATTGTTTTTCCAAGTTGAATATTATAATTACCAGCCTGCATGTCTCAAAACCTGAACTTCTGGTTTAAATATATCAGGGCTTGTTTTAGAGGTAGATAAGAGGCATTGATGTCAAACGGAAGGCAGCTACTATTGAATGTCTCTTTTATTTCCAAACATTGCTTCGCTCAGGAAAGCTAAAAATTCTGCTCACAGCCTCACACTACCTCGTAAAGTAATTTAAAATATTTGTTTGAAAGTTTGCCAATTTTATTACAAATAAAACAAGAAAATCCCAGGTTAATAAGTATAAATAGTCTTTGCTTTGTCAGCCAGTGGTTCTGCTGATGTGTTCAGGAAACCCAGATTATGTTGATGGCAGCCTTCATTCTGTATGGGGCTCTGGTCAGCCCAGTTTGCTAGCCAGTCAGTGACACCATGGTCCCTGATCCAGCTTTTGGTAGCTTTGGCAGTGTGAGCAGGTGCTACATCCTGTTGCAAAATTAAACCACCATCTTGATAAAGCTTGCCAGCAGAAGGAGGCTTGAAGTGCTCTATCATTTCCTGGTACACAGCTGTGGTGTGTGTGGACTTCAGAAAGCTCAGTGGCAGCCCCAGTCATCACTAAATGTGGAAAGTTTATGCATGATGCTCAGAAAGCACCATGCATTCTGAGGTTATTCCTCCTCGTTCTGCGACCTTGACTTCTAAATGAAATGCAAACTTTTCTTGCATTTGTAAAAACTTTAGACTTCTGAGCAGCAGTCCTGTTTTCTCCTTTGCCCAGTAAGACACTTTGTAGCTTTCTGCAGGTTTTGCCTGAGTATCGTGGCCTTGATGTGCAGACTCCAGCTTTAGTCCACTACTTGTGAAGCCCTCCCAAATTCTTGAATTGATTTTCTTGACGATGTATATATTTTTAAAAAGTTGTAGCTATAAAATGACAGTTTTCCAAATGGCATTTGAGTGACTCTTAGGATATGAAATAAAGATTGAACCCTAACCCCTGAATGCCAGGCGTCCTGTTTTCAGGCACAACTCATCACCCAGTGAGCAGTGAAGCATGGTGTTGACCCCATCACACTGTGGGACGTTCTCAGGCAGCAGGAAGCAGGACACTACTTTGAACTGCAACAATTCACAGGGACATCTTTTTGGGATAACCTGCTGCAGAGTACAGTGGACCTCAGACTGGGGTGAAAGTTCACTTTCCAACAGGACAACGCCCACAGCAAGCATTAAAAAGGAGAGGCTTCTGAAGAAGTTTGTAAATGTCATGGAGTGAGCCAGCCAGAGCCCAGACTTTTACCTGATCGATCCTCGCTATAGAAGACTAAAAATGTCTGCATCGACATTTTCCATCCAACCCGATGGAGTTTAAGAGGTCCAGCAAAGAATAATGGTAGAAAATGCTCAAAAATAGGTCCCATAGTTGCAGCATTGCGCTAGGTAGTTCAACAAAGTGTTAATCAAGTACTTGATTAATAGTTGGCAGATCAAATTGAATAAAACTATCTTTTATTGAATTTGTTATGATGGGATATTGTATGTAGAATTTTGAGGGGAAATAATTTTCTGCTGTATTATAACAAAAAGTGAAGCTCTGTGAATGTTTTCCCCGTGCAGTGTGGGTAACAATCTGTTATCAATCCAGAGTCACGAATGCTACAGTTTCTGATTTACTTTGTGGGAGGTTCTGTTTGCTTGAGCCACATAAATGCGTCGTTTTTTTTTTTTCTGCTGTGTGGATGCGCTCAGCTTTAATTGATGATGTTTCTGATTCGTCTGTAGGTGATGGGCCTCTCTACTCCGGGGCAAGCAGAAATCGTCAGTCTGGACTCATCCAACATCGATGATGTCCTGAGTAAGAAATTACAATTGATATATTTAGATGAAACAAGTTTGACATTTTGCTCCATTGTATTTAGATTGCTATCACTTTTGTGTGTATTTCTGAAGTAAATATCTAATTTTGGATGGAAAATTTTGAAACAAACTGTATTTTTTTTATCTAGCTGTAGACAAGGCAGATAAATGCTGGTAAAATATATATATATATATATATATATATATATATATATATATATATATATATATATATATATTCTCACTTCCTACACTGGAATTTAATTTTATCTTCGAGTTTTTTGTAATATCGACTTTTGATCTTGCTCTATTACAATTTTTGGCTCGGTGTATAATAATATATAGAAACCAAGAATTGTCATATTTCTATAAATATATGTTTTTGTTGAAAGAACAAAATACTTGCCTCATTTTAAAGGCTTCGATTTTGAATATACATATTTTTTTAAGGGGACAAGACTACAGTAAAATCTCCTTATTGTGTTATAATTGTTGATCCGGCCAAACCATTAATGTCATAAAATAACTTCCTTTGTTAACACAGCAAAAACATAGTAAAATAACACTACGGTCTCAAATGCTCCAATTAGGGAGCTTTTGAGCAAGACTGCACTAAAGTTTTCTGTTAACAACCAGAGTTAAAAATTTTATAGCCAATTTAGTATAAATTATATTGTTTACAAGTGGTATTTAAATGTGCCATCACGGCCTGTCTGCATGTCCAACCATGAACATTTCTGCAGAAGCGTAAACAAGAATCGGCTAGTCTGAAAAACAGCAATACCGAATGGATGAACTGATCGGAATAAAGTTAGTCTAGGCTTATACGTCATAAATAAATGTTATGTCAGATTTTATTATTCGTGTAATAGTAAGATGATGGTCTCGTTATATTGAGAAAATCACACAAAAATATATCTGTAGTAGGGAAGTTTATTCCCCCTCTTCTGTAATAATAAATATGTATTTATTAACACAAAATCAAATGTATTGATTACGTGGCATTTTTTGCAGATAATGCTGGGGTAGCATTAGTCAACTTTTACGCTGACTGGTAAGTTTTTTTTTCTTCTATGATATTTTTTATCTTTTTGTATTATTTAAGTCACATTTAAATTGAGTTTTTGCAAAGCTGTACACCTCAAGTAGAAAATAGTTCTTCTAGCTTTACCATTTCATTTATTTTAAGACCTTTTTAAAAAAAATTTTAACCTGAAATATGTCCAGTTGTGCAAAGTGGACCCAAATCTAAACTCTCTGCAGGTGTAGATTTAGTCAAATGCTCCATCCGATCTTTGAGGAGGCGTCAAACATCGTGCGGGAGGAGTTCCCTGATACCAAGCAGGTGGTGTTTGCTCGGGTCGACTGCGACCAACATTGTGAGTAATACTTTCCTTACCTGCTATTTTGTGTGTTCTCTAACTTTGTTCAAGATGTTACTAAAAATATAACTTGCAACGTTCCTGTGAGAAGCGCATGACTGGTAGTCGTTAAAGTGAATGCTGCGCCAGCGAAGAGCACGTTTAATGTAAAGGATGGGTTTTGTTAGAACGGAATAGGTAAAATATTTTAAAGTTTGTTAAAATATTTTGAATAATGGTGTTTGCATGTTTTTGAGCTTTCATCTTGACGGCCATGTGTTTTGTCCTAAACTTGCTATAGTTTATTAGAAGTGAAGTCAAGACTTTACAGAGTTTCTGCCAAGTTTTAAAAAGACGTAAACTGAAAAATCTTAAATTTTGGTGTTAAAAAAATGTCCTGAATTTGTCCAGATTTACCAAAACCGGTCTGAAATTACGCTCAGTCTTAAACTTGGTGCTTATTTAATTGTTTTCTTTTTCTCAGGTATTTTTTTTTTAATTCTGTCTTTCTAATTTGTTTTGCTTACAATTGCACAGACAGCATTTATTTGGTATGTTTGTTGTGGTTCAGTCTGAGAGATTTGGGTGTCTTTAGCTGAAATCCCTTTAACTGTCTTTTGGACCTTTGTTTAAGCAAATTAAATCAAAAGATTTTGTTGCAATATACAGTATTATAAATTGGTTATGATTAAGTACTCATTTAAACGTAAGTTATTTAATTTTAATTAAGTTGGTCCTAACGTTTAGTCATAAAGGGCCTAAAAAGTTCTCAGAAAGTCTTGAGAAATCGCTGAAATTTAGCTTGTAGAACTCCATCTGTGAATATCTGTGGATTTAAAGCATAGCTGGTTTTGATATGCGATGAATTGTTTTGAAGAAGCCACTTGTGTTAAGTGTCATTTGTTTTAAAAAGGAAGCGTTTTTCCTTTATTTATGGAAACTATTGTTTCAGTTGCAACAACTCTGTCCTGGTCTAGTTGCTGAAAATGTGTTATGTAAATAAAATTACCTTACCTTTTACCTTGGTTAATAAAATCCTCTTCTGATATGGATACAGGACTATGGTAAATACCCCAACTAAAACTGATATGTTTTACCTTAGGTAATGAAAGGTTTTTATTTTTGTATGAACAGTGGTCTTTATTTGACCGTTCAAAGTAGCCATAACCATCACTAAAAAGTACCAGAGTTTCTAAGTACTACAGTGTTACTGCAGAAAACTTAACATAAAAATCGTTAAAATCACCTTATTTCTTTAAAAATGCAGTTTAGTCGGTAGAAGGGAGTTGAGCTGAGTTGGCAAGTAGGTGTGAAGTGACATCTAGTTATCCGACTGTGAAGGACTCTGATAACTACCACACATGTGAAAAAGTTGCCAACATCCTCAGATGCGATTGCACCTTCTCCGCCTCATTTGGGTGAGAGCTCACCGCCATTTCTACAGCTGCACAGTTTCTCACTGAATGTTTACTTACAGGCACTGCATCTTAACAAAGATGCTCACTGACTGCATGATGTCAGCTACATTAAGACACAAATGAAGACTTTGCAGCTCTACTGTAGAGCCATTTGACTGCTATAACCTAATAAATGTATGTTATTCATTCAGGAAAAAATATTAAAGAATAACTTGAAGCTCAACCTCTTATAATCTTTGCATATTCAAAAAGCATCTTAAGCGTGTAATAAATAAAAAAAATACATCCTTTTTGTCTCAGTTTGGTTGCAAGTTTTAGTTAAAATGGTAAAAAAAAAAACGTATTTGCGTTCGTATTGCTGATCTTACTGTGTTTATTATAGGTTTAATCACTTTATGTTGTTTGAGTATATGCTCAAAAAAATTCAACAAACTTTATGTGGGAAGGGAAAGAGGTGCACGTCTACACTATATTTGATGCACATGTTCACACGGAGATGCCCATCACACCAGAGCTCACACACGTAAGCTGCCAGCTTCAGCCTTTTGAGATAAAGCAAATTAAAGAGAATTATTGATGACCTGCAAACTGTTTGAAGACTAATGACAAAACTGCTGCATCCTGTGAAGACTGGAGGCTTAGAGACGCCCCGCAGAGAGATTGACACCTGCCACACACGCACACACACTCATTCAGTGTGCGCAGCGAGAATATTTACTCCTGGCAGGGGGGCTGCTTTCATGTGGGAGATCAGAGCTGGGAGTTGACTGAGGGCTGGGCTTTCAGACGCTGGTTTAACTGCTGTCTCTGTCACCGCTCTGCTCTTCATCTCCATGTGGTTGTCTTTTTTTCCTGTCTGCATCTCGCTCTTCATCGGTTCATTTGCCTAACTCCTCCTATCCCCCCCCCCGTGTGTAGCCGACATAGCTCAGCGCTACCGCATCACCAAGTATCCGACGCTGAAGTTGTTCCGCAACGGGATGATGATGAAGAGGGAGTACAGGGGTCAGAGGTCGGTTACCGCCATCGCTGACTTTATCCGCCAGCAGCAGGTCGACCCTGTGAAGGAGATACACTCAATGGAGGAGGTCAATACTATAGATGTGAGTGCCAAAAGCATAATGTCTAATTACATGTAAACATTTATGACTGAATTAAATCACACAGGATGATCATTTAACACTTTGCGCTTCAACTCAACAGAGAAGCAAAAGAAACATTATCGGATACTTTGAACAAAAGGACTCTGATAACTACCACACATATGAAAAAGTTGCCAACATCCTCAGAGACGACTGCACCTTCTCCGCTGCGTTTGGGTGAGAGCTCACCGCCATTTCTACAGCTGCACAGTTTCTCACTAAATGTTTACTTACATGTTTGCTCTTGACCTCTGCCCATCCAGGGCCGTGTCGGCGTCCGAGCGCTTCAGCGGAGACAACGTCATCTACAAGCCCGTGGGCGAGGGCGTCCCTGACCTGGTCTACCTCGGCTCCCTCACCAACTTTGACCTGACGTACGCCTGGGCGCAGGACAAGTGTGTGCCTCTAGTTCGGGAGATCACCTTTGAAAACGGGGAGGTTTGTTTACCTCGTTTTTCTGTTGAATATTTTCGAGAAACGATTCATGTTGGCACTTGTTCTGATAAATATCCACGCATGTGTCAGGTTCCATCAGAATATGTCCTGAAAGGGAAATCAGGCGTCCATTTAGTTGTTGATCCATACATACACTGATGCTTTTTGTGTGTGTGATTTCCAGGAGCTGACCGAAGAAGGACTTCCCTTCCTCATCTTGTTCCATCTTAAAGAAGACTCTGAAAGTTTAGAAAAGTTCCAGAATGAAGTAACTCGACAGCTCATCAGTGAGAAAGGTAGGCAGCTTTTAGAAGATGTTACCAATTTAGATTTTAATCAGTCACGACTTCCTGTACACAAAGATGGTGTTTGTGACAAGTTTGCGTCTCCGCCAGGGTCGATAAACTTCCTTCATGCGGACTGCGATAAATTCCGCCACCCTCTGCTCCACATCCAGAAAACTCCGGCTGACTGTCCCGTCATTGCCATAGACTCGTTCAGGCACATGTATGTCTTTCCTGATTTCAAAGACCTCACGTAAGTACTTGAGTCATTTCAAATAATACAAAAGTTTCTTGCATTTCACTCCATCCTGAACTCTTATTCCATAGATCAGCAGATATTATCAAGTCTCTTTATTTTTACGGGAAATTAGAAATCAATTTTTGCAAGATTTTCAGTTTGAGTGCAATTTGCTTTTTATCTTAGTTTTATGTCTTCAATCACAAAAGTTGTTTGTGATTGAGATACAAATAGAAGTTTATACCTTCAACTCTCCTTATGCTTTGAACTCTCTGCAGCTGCACTGGACACTGACCTCAGTTCTGTTCAGAGATCTTTGTCTGGATCATCCAGTCAAACTCAAAAATCCAATATGTCTGCAGCTCAGGCCGAAGCGTAGTGAAAGTTGCAAATGAAAACAATTTATTCACACTTCTGAGAATTTGCATCCTATTAAAGCATTGTACTTACCAACCTCTAGTTAATCCTAACCCTGACAATTGGCAAATTTCACTGCTTTTTAACGCCCTGAACTCGTGTGTGTGTGTGTGTGTGTGTGTGTGTGTGTGTGTGTGTGTGTGTGTGTGTGCGCGCGCGTGATCATAACTCCAACTTCTGAGAAAGCGAGCTGAGTGTGGTTTGCATAAAAAGCTTCAAACGTAATCTCGTGTTTTTAGTTTCTTAAGATATGAGTTTAAAAAGTCTGTTTTACAGCATTTCCTCCCGCTCACATACGGTGTGACATCACTTCTTCTTCTTCTAATATGAATAATCAGTAACCAAATAATATTTTAATTGGATTTCTTAAAAAAAAAAAAAAGTGTATGGACAGGACAGAGCTTTCCAAAAACTGGAGGTTTGAAATCAATCAAAACTTTCTGGTTGGTGCATCTCTAATATAAGTTAATGAAATTTGGCTTAAATGGTACTTGTAATTGTTAAATAAATCTTGTTTTATATGCGATGGGAAACATTCCTTTGAATAGTTCTGACTGATGATGAGTTGTGTGATGTATCATTCACCTGCGCGTGTAATTGTTCATAATGAGATCCGTTCATGATCAAATGAATTTTGTCTAAACACACACACACACACACACACACACACACACACACACACACACACACACACACACACACACACACACACACACACACACAAACTGCTGAACAGCAGATAAATGCCACACCTCCTAAAATCTGTCCTTTATGAATGGGCCAGGACACCGGAGCTAATGTGACATGATTTGGCACGTGCAATAAGTGCTAAACTAATCCAGTCTAATCTAATTTAATCTTATTTATTCTGCTCCCCAACGCACCCCCACAATCAGGCTCTGATCAGATAGACAGTAGCCTGGAGGACTTTACTAGCTCCTTCACAACCTAATTACATCACATCAGCACTGCATGTGATGCACACAGCCTGTAATTACATTAGCACACAGTATGTTATATATACATGTTTGTTTATGTGTGTCCTGATGTGCCACACTGGTGAGTTTGATGTGGCACCAGCACACGACCTCCCATCACTCGGATCAATTCATAAAGCAGATTAGATTTCTTTTCATGCTTCAACGGGACTCGTCGGCTGCTTCGTCTCGTGGCGTCTCTTCTCGCCGGCCAGCTTCATAGCTCCACCGTTGGACATGTGTGGAGAAATAATCTTAAAAATGGAGAAATTGTTTTATTTCCAGACTTTATTCCTTATTTATTCAAGAGTGGACTGATTTTATGAGTCCCCCTCACCACGACTTCATAATTCAATAAGGGCACAAACTATGACTTTTAAATTAAAATCTGTTTATATAAATGTTAGATGCAACACAAAGTGATTGTGTTTCCCAAGCTTCTTGGTTTCCTTGTATTTTTATGGTAAATAGAACCACATCTTCTCATTGACTTGAGCTCTAAGCTACACCGTAGTGGACAAATATCTGATTTTAACTGCTGTACTGAAACTTGACTAAATACAGAAAGTGTTTTCAAACAAAGACTGACCAAGATCCCGTTGAGAAAATATTTATTCAGTTTTCTTCATTCAAGCCCAAAGTAATGAGCAAACTGGATGCCTTTAAGTTAATTAGAAAAAAGTTGCAAAAACCTTTTGAATCTTTGGATTTACAATCAGTTTCCTCTAAGAAAACAAAAAATGGATTACTTTATTTAACTAAAATAGTTCATGCTTAGTTTATTAGTTTATTAGTTTATAAAAAACACTGCAATATTAGTGGTGATTAGTTTTTTAAAAGGATATTTTTTGCCCACAATAATTACTTTTGAGCTGATGATTTTGGCCCACGTGACAAACAATATGATACAACTTACTAAATTGATGTTACATTTAATTACCATTTGAAATCTATGAAGTTTATCCATCTATCCAGTCACCCATCCATCCATTCAAACAATTGCCCCAAGCATTAATCTGACTGATTTGTCTTTGTCCATCCATTCATCCTTCTTTCTCTCCTTTCTCTCTTCCAGCTTTTCTTTTTCTACGTTTCATATTTAAAGTCTGACTGCTACGTAAATATACTGCTCAAAAAAATAAAGGGAACATTTCACTTTAATTTTGTGTGTGGCTCCAAATCCAGGCCTCCATTGGTTAATAAATTTGATTTCCATTGATGATTTTTGTGTGATTTTGTTGTCAGCACATTCAACTTTGTACAGAACAAAGTATTCAATGAGAATATTTCATTCATTCAGATCTAGGAATGTGTTATTTGAGTGTTCCCTTTATTTTTTTGAGCAGTGTATTTGCCATAAATTTAAGATGAAACTTTGCATTTATCCTTTAAAGATGGGACAAAGAGATTTGGAAACAGGATTCAGAGAAATATGAATCTTTGACTTCATACCGATAGTAAACGAGCTCCATTAAGCCATTTTTGTTGAAGGTTTGTTTCACGTTATTTAATTTTTTTCCCCCCCCTCAGTATTCCTGGGAAGCTAAAACAGTTTGTTTTGGATCTTCACTCCGGAAAGCTTCACAGAGAGTTTCACCATGGTCCTGACCCCACAGACAGCACACCTGGACAGGTCGGCCACCGGTCTTATCCACAGGAAGTCCGCTTTTATTATGAAGTGCTGCAGTTTCAGTTCAATCTTGACTATTGTTCTCAGGAGGCGGAGAAAGAGGTGGCCAGCAACCCTCCAGAGAGCTCGTTCCAGAAGCTGGCACCAAGCGAGACCCGCTACACCATCCTCAGACGGGACCGCGACGAGCTGTGACCTAAGCAGCCCTGCAGGGATCCTGAGACTCAATGCCACGCCCCGGGGTCAGGGAGGGGTCAGGGTTGGGACAGGCCAGCGGGACAGAAGAGTAATACCCAACACCCTTACTGGAAAAACGGAGAAGGAGGACGACAAAAAGAAGAAGGAGAGAGCGGCCCATAACATATTGTTGGAGTAGCCTATATTTTCATAACTGTTTGTCATGCAATTTTTATTTTGATTTAGGAGAACGGGGGAATGAAGAAGAAAACGTGTGTGGGCGGGGGTCTGGGGCATTTAGGACATAAAAAGAGAAGTTTACTTTTATTTCTTCGGAGGTTGTAAATATGTTTGTGCTACGTTGGAATCACAATGTTGGTCTAAATTAAATGCAGAGTTTTCTTTATTTTATGTAGTCTCTTTGTCATCACGCCGTTTCTCAGCCCTGAGCGTCAAACCGTGTCCTCACTCCAGTTGTGCGGTTCTTATCTGTGGGTTATTCCAGTTCAGCCCGTCTCGATGAAAGATGCTCCTGTAATCTCATTAACCTCATGGCTGCATCTCCACCATGACCAACTCCAGTCTAATTCATTTGTAGAGCACATGTTAAAACATTATGCCTGTTTAAAATAGCTTTATTTCAATGTCTCCTCATCACACAGACTGGGGCGGGGGGGAGGGGAAGAGACGCCTCGTAGGAGTAGCAACATTTCTAATCGAGACGAGCGACTGAGCTGTTCCATCCTTCTGGGATACAACCCTTCTCTCTCTGGTACTGTTTGTGTTCTGGCTCTGGATTATGACGTCTCCTCAAATACTCCTCGGATATTTTTATGTTCTACTTTTTACTATACTGTGCCACAGTGGGGGCGGGATGGGGGGGGGGGGGGATCTGTTTCTGTCATCAGTAACGCCACAATTCCTAAAAAGCATGACTGAGAGATTTTTAACATTATTTTCTAAACACCTAAAACACATAATCCCCATTTCAAAGTGCTGGTAGTGGCAGCATTATGCTGTGGGGAGACCTCTCTGTCCCAGAGTGCCTCTGGTTAAAGCTCTTCCTTCAAACCGAGTAAAAAAATATGTCAATAATCAGAGATCAGTCTGATTCGAACCTAAAACGAAAGAGCCTAGTTTGTTGCTGAGGTACTAAACTGTAAAGAATGACGTGAATTATTTTCTAATGACTCGGGAAAACAATTACAAAAATGTTCCTAGACGATCTTCATCATCATTAATTTATGTAACTCCTGCTTTTGTTGTCTGTGTCTTCATGCTGGGGGCGAAAACACTACGACTCTCCCAAGTGTTTTAAGGGGAAAAACCTGAGCGGTAAAAATGAAGCCTGCTACTTTCTACCAGTTTTTCTTTCTTTTTAAATCCAGTTTTAGTCTCTTTTTTTACCTCTAAGGTTTTCGTACTGTTCTTGATTTCTGGGAATCAAGACGTTGGACTTGGACGTGTTTGGGGACTCATTTGTGTTGTGTGTCCTGTCCTCCCATTTTGGACCTGCATAGTGACATATCAGCCCACGTACAAAGCAGCAGATGGGGGGAGGAGAGGGGGAGTCTGATGCCATTTTTTAATTGCTCATCTCAGAGGTGAAGAACAAAAAAAAATGATTAAATAAAAAACATTTTACAGATTTGTGTTTGTCGGAACTCCATTATTCCTGCTAGTTAGTAAAACTATGCAGCAGCTGTCAAGATAAAACTCAAAGTGCTTCAACAAACAAAATGCATACAGTGGAAACAAAATTTAAGTCGAAGCCGATTTAAAAATATGTTTTTAATTAAATTAATGACCTTATTGCAGCAGGAGGTACACACTTACCTGACTACCGATCATGAAATTATGAGAATTATCCTTGGATATTTATATTTTATTTTTCTTACGACACAATTTAAAAAATATTTTAAAATACGTTAAACCTAAAGCACATAAAGCCCAACTAAAAACCCAGTAGTGGCAGCATCATGCTGGGCGGTCACTCATTGTTTTTTGCTAGATCAGCTAAACTGCATCCAACAAAAATACGGCAACTTCAGCCATTATTCCTGTCAACGAACGACATCTTTGCTAAAAAGAAATATTTTATTTGACAACAGTAGTATCTCTGTATACAACAAATTCACACACTCCGGTCTGAAGTGGTCTGGACTTTGGCACCGTTAGTGATACTTTGCTGCATAAATATGAGAATTATTACTTAAATTTATCATTAGCTGTACATGAAAACACAGAAGAATGGACAACGTAGAAACCCTGCAGATGAAAAAAAGGAAGAGACGAGGCTTTCATTTGCCTTTAACAGTGATGCATTGGCACAAAATGTTTAGACCTCAGATGATTCTCTCACAAAAGGCCACGTTTTCAGATTTTGATTAAGAAAAATGAACTGGAACAAGTATAAGCTGTAGTGCTTGCATTAAATATTGCCACAGAAACCATTTCACACCTGACGATTTTTACAGTCTCGCCATCTGAGCTGCTCTTGGAACGATTAGAAAAGTTTTAATTGTATTGTTAATTTCCCCCCAATTCATAAAGGGTCAAAATTATACATACCTCCACCAACATTTTGTCCAAAGCACTTTGACCACAGAGAACTATGAACAAGGTTTTGGTGTCATTTGAGCAGAAAATTGGATCATTCTTCTTGGCTGAACCTGTAGAGGCCGCTCAAATAATTTAGTTTCTTGTCAGTGATGTGATTTTAAAGCGTAGTTCAGATATTACAAACAATATAAAGGTCAAACAACAACTCTTTGGGGAAGAGTGTTCTAGTGCGTTGAAGTTTTATCCATTTCATCAGTGCTTGGTATAATTTTCAAGCAAACAAGAAGCTTGAAGCTGTGACATATCCTGCAGTTCAGGGGTGTCCAAACTTACTAAAATCAAGCAAATAAAGTAGTTCATTTCTTGTTTGTTTTGTTTGGCAGAAAATTTATCGTAGATCAAAAACATAGAAATGATTTTGTGCCTTTGCTGTCTTAAAAGAAAGGCATCTAGTTTTTAAATACTTTTGGCTCAAATAAACATTTATTCTCGATTATAAGAACAGGATTTGGATCACTTTCTGTCAAAACGCTCGCTATACTTAGCCAAGTTTAATAAATTAGATAAAAGCAGCTGATTTGGCTGCAGCGAAGTCAACTTTTCAGTAAAAGGTTGTCTACTACTACTACACTTTAATACTTTGTGTTGTATGTAACATCTCCCATTGTAAGAAAATCATGTTGTCTAAATGGACACTCCTGCTGTGGTTGATAAAAGATTTTAAAATCTTAGTGGAGGTGTATGTATATATTGAGCCTGTATGTGTGCATGTATGGGGAAACGTTTGAATTTGTGCTCCTTTTCATGCTCTCAGGAAGTCATCGCATTTGATTTGCTTTGTACTTCAACCCAACCTGGACAAACGTAAACCATGAAGACGATTAAAGTGTCGGAGTCGTCCTGATGCAGAACCTCCTGAGCAGGACTGCAGGTCGTAATTAAGGCAGTTTTTAAACACCCGTTCAACAAAGTGCACACATTGTCTAGCGCTCCGTCTCCTCAGACCCACAGGACCAGGTCAGTCAGTCCACACAGAAGAGCTTCACTTGTCCTTATTTTTCTCCGGTTCTTCTGCCGCCGGCGCCGTCAGTCGACTCATCTGCTGGTCCACTTGAGCTCGGCGGTGTTTTCGGACCAGGCTGCCGCCCGCGAAGCCCAGGGCGCCCCCTCCCACGGCAGCAGCCACCCCGGCAGCTTTGAACCCGGCCAGCAGGCCGAGAGGGCCTCCCAGCGCGCCGCCCAGCAGCGCCCCGGCGACCGGCAGCACCGCCAGCTTGTAGCCCGCCGCCTGGAGAGACATGAAGAAGAGATACGCTCCGGTTTAATTTACCTCGCGCACCTTTGGAGGCGCCGGGACTTTGTGGCTTAAAGGCAGCCTGCGACAGGGCGAGCATGCGTCTGCCCTTTCATGATCACCTCATCAATCCGCGTGCAAGGTTGAAGCCGAAGTCAAAAAAAATAAATAAAATACAAACAAGCCTGCATGTGTAAATGTAAACGGACGCATCAAAGCCTTTTTATTATCTTCATTTAGGAGAAATCAGAGAGATGTGGGGCCGCGTGTTATTACAGCGGTTATCATCAGAGTGGAAGGTGCTTTTTGCTGATGGCAATTAATGATTGATTCTCTGACCATCCTCCCACACACACACACACACACACACACACACGGACACTCACTTGATTAACACTCACCATTAAATTAATCTAGTTCAAAAGCCAGCATTGCTTGTCCACATCCCTGTGGCAGTCGAGGGAATTTTAATTTCATCTGAGCTAAGTTAAAAGGACTCTGGCTATAGAAGTTGTGGAGGAAGGAGGAAATGAGCGGGTTGTGTATATATATATATATATATGTGTGTGTGTGTGTGTGTGTGTGTTTAATACGTGTTTGACCCGATTACAGATTACAAGCTTTCACACACGTTAAAACATCTGACACCCTTCTCATCTGTTTCATCTGCTCACCCACCAACCCGTCTCACAGCAGGTGGGAGTTTGTTTGTCCTCTCATTCTGCTAAATTTCTTTTTAAACAACCAAATTAAACGTAGTGTTTTATTTTATTACATTCAGCCATAAGTTACATTTAAAATGTTCCCAGTTGTTATTAAAAACCCACTACAGACACATTTTTGGTTTATTTTCTCAGAAGTTGAGTGTACTATTGACGGGCGTATAAAAAGAACCAAACCGCTACTGAAACAACACTGTTAAATTGACCTGCTGGATGTTTGAGACTCGAGAGTTTCTTTTTTTGTTTTTGTTTTTTTTCTAAACGTGGCTCGAATCTCTTCTACTCATCACCCATACAAAGCCAAAACAAAAAATGCCAAAACCTAAATTTAATGAAATGAAACAACCCTCAGTTATTGGCACCCCGGTTAAAGAAAGAGTAAAAAAAAAAAAAAGAAAAAAATGAAACTTTTATTACAGCAGCATGATCTTACACTGGAAAAGTTTAACAAAAACTGGGAAATAATGTTTGTTTTGTTTTGTTTTCTCCCAGAAGCACTTGTGCTCACATTTGTAGAAACCCTAAAATCCCCATAAAATAAATACAACTAAACAGTTTTTTTTATTATTATGTTTAGGAATTTGTAGTCATCAGTAGTCTTTATTTATTGCTAGTCTGACAGGGAAAAGGCAAAGAGAGACGAGCATGTTTTAAAGGGCCGGGTCGGGAGTCGAACTGGCGCCTTAACTTTGAGTTAACGCTCCTGTAGATGAGAGGCGACACAGATTCCTGTTCTCCTCGACTCTCTTCAAAATGGGAAAGCTAAGAGAACATTTTTCTATACGAGATCATGTTACAGTAATAGAAGATTCATTTAATCTCAAGTTT